TCTGATATGTCATTAACATCAGATCCTTAGTTCTGGATCCTGTTTGAACTGTGACTTTCTCTCTTAAACTCAGATGGTAATCTAGAGCATGTGCTCTGCAATCCTTGCCACTTGGTCAGGGTCATCTGAGCTCATGTTTTGGTTTTGTGTGTGTGTGTGTGTGTGGAAAAATACAGATAACATGAAATTGATCATTTTAGCTTCTTTTTTTTGTAGAGGGATTTTTGCTATAGGGCATGTGTGCTCACTGGAGAGACAGAGACAGAAAATTAGAAATCACTCCTCCCCACCCCCAGGGGGATGGCCATGCTGCTGTCCCTCTCCATTCTCCTTTCAGGATTTTGGACATGCATGCACACACACCCGACTTGAGTTTTAAGCCACTGGGCCCAGGACCCAAACAGTTGTCAACTACATGGGAGTCCAGCAATGTAACCATTACACTATCTGCTGGTCCCTCATCTTAGCTGCTTTTAAGTGTACAGTTTGGTGACATTGAGTATATCACCTTGTGCACAACCATCACCACCTTCATCTCCGTTACTGAGCTCATGTTTGGATTAGGTGTACTTTTTGACTATAGCAGATCTCAAACATTGGTGGGTTTTGTTTCTGTATTGTGCATAGTACTTTCTTCCCTTGGTGAATTTTACTGAACATGAAATCAATACCTACTGTGTTTTTATATCATAGGACAGGCAGCTAAGTTTTGAAGTTGGTGCTTTGTTTAAACAGGATGCGCATGGCTCCTTTGAGCCTTGTTTGCACAGTGCACCTTTGCTCTCAGTGTCAGCACATGCTACCCTGACAGCCCAGGGGATTTTACGGGGCCTCTCTACTCTTCATCACTTTCAGTCCTGCCTGCTCTCTGTGGTGACTTTGAGACTAGACATCCCATCATTTGGATACCATCTATGTTCTTTATGCAACACGGAGATGAACATGACCTAGCACTGTCTGCCGGGATCTGGTAGTCACTTAGGTGTAGGAAACCCTCAGTGCAGAGTAAGGAGTTAGCAATCTGACTTCAAACCAGTCAGGTCACAGGTAGGGTCTGGCCCTATTGTGTCTTAGATGTGACCTCAGATGAGTCACTTTACCTGTGTAACCCTCAGTTTCCTCATCTGTAATTTTAGTACCTGCCTCTCAGATCTGTTCTAAGGACTCAGTGAGATAATAGGGGCACACTAAGCCAGTGTCTGGATGCTTGGATGGTTGGAGCAGAGAGGGTACCCTCACGGAAGCAAATGTGTGATGACCCTCAGGGAGAGCGAGGCTGTGCTTGGGTGTGTCAGCAGGGTGCCTCTGGAGAAATGGAGGTTTGAGAGCAGTCTTAGCAGGTAGTGAGAGGTGTCAGGAGTGTAGGGGAGGTAGGCAGTCCCATTTAGTGTGCGACAGAAGGGAAGGAAAGGTAAGAAGTTAGAGTGGTATGCTTGGAACCTTGAGAGAGTACAGAGCTGGAGTGAGGCAGCTGGAGCTGGCCTTGAAGGCAGTGGGGAGACAGATTGTAGGTTCTTGGGCACTTGAAAACTTGGGAGCCACTGCTGGGAAGAGTCAGACGGCTGCTGTGCACAGGAGACATAGCCATGGTCTAGGTGAGAGCAGGAGAAGGCCGCACAGGGAGCCTCCCAGAGTGGGCAGTGATGAGCTGGTTGAAGAGGAATTGGCTGAGTTTCTGCTTGAGCACTTGAGGCTGTCAGGCTGCTGTTTTGGAAGTGTGACTGGAAAGAAGTTGGGGATCATTTGAAATTGACAGAGGGAGGGATCCATGTGTAAAATTGGAGTAGTGTTTATAGGCAGGTGAAGGGATCAAGAAAGAGAAGAGGCTGAAAATATAGAGATCAGGTGATGGAGCACTTAAAATGATGCCTTATAAGTCCTGAGGAGGCTCAGCCACTGCACTAGCCATCCTGGGGTGAGGAGCACCCGCCATATCAACTATAGGAGAGAAGAGGGAGTGAAGGTAGATATTTGAGATGGAAAAGTGGCTTCCCGTCAATGCACTGTGTGACTGTGAGTGAACATGTGCTTGTGTTCCTACATAAGGTGAGGTTGAGGAGGGTCTGATGCTAGAGGGAGAACCTTGATCGTGCAGTTGATTACATTTTACTGAGTTGGTTTCTGAGGCCAGAATGCTCTGGTTTGAATGCTAGCCTACCACTCTTTGTGTGACCTTGGACAAATTTCTTCTCAGTGCATCAGTTTCCACATCTGAATAAGGGTATAGTAATAGCACCTCACTCACCAAACTGTTGTTAGGATTAATTGGCTTAACAACAAAGAGCATTTAAAATGATGCCTAGCGCAAGTAAGAACCTTGTAAGTCCTTTTGGGCCCCACTGGCTTAGGGCTGCTTCTCTAGGCAGAGTGACTTTTTCACTAGGAAACCTAAGAGTGTTGATTCAAACCCAAATTTCCTGGGCCCAAAGAGACCTCCAGTGTATGTTTTCTTTAGGTCTTTGGAACCTCTTTGCTCAGGTCTCAAAAAGAAGACATTCATAATAATTCCAGGGGCCAGACTGGCACAGCAGTAAAACATAATGTTCTGTGAGGCCAACGCACATGGGAATGTTGCTGGTTTGCATCTGGAGACCTCCCTGAATGCCCATGATTGGGGCTAGCTAAAGCAAAGGGTGGATCAGGGCATGAAGGTCCTGTTGGGGGGTTGTATCTCTGTCTTTCTCACTCATGGAAGAAATAAACTTAAAAATAATAATTTCTTATTCCTCATTGTATAGTGCTTTGTAGTTTACTAAGTACTTACTGTATACTATGCATATTCCCTCATTTGATCTTTACACCAAACATGTGAGATATACTGAAACTGTGGCTTCATTTCACAGGGAGGAAAACTGCTGCTCAGCGTGGTTAAGTAGCTGGCTCCAGGTGGGGCCTGAGGTGTGATGGGGCTCAGCAAGTATATTTGAAAACCTGAGTTCTTCAGAACAGAACCCAAGACTGACCACAATCTGTGCCTCTTTCTTTCCACTCTGTTGTCACTTGTTGCAAACCACTTTGCTCTGAAAGAAATGATGTAGTTTATAAAGGATGATTTTTGTAAAAAGGAACCTAAACCTATTAGGTCATCTTTACTTGCCTTGACAACACCAAGTGCTGAGAAAGGGGAATTTAGAACCAGACACCCATCCTGTTTGTCAGGCCAGAGCTGTGGTTTGTTTACTGGTTTTCTGTCTCTGCTGTGTGGGTGACTAGCCAGAGTGCCCCAGAGGTAGAGACCAGCTTGGTGAACCAGTGCATTGAAAATTCTATAAGGACTAGGGAGGGGTTCCTTGTGTTAAAATTGCATGTCAACATCAGCAGTTTTCTCCACTGCTCCAGTCAGCTTTTGTCTTTTCAAATTTCAGTTAGGTGGGTAGTGACCTTTTAGGAAATCCATAGTTGCAGTGTTTTCCTGGACTGCTCCCTGGATTATGGAAATAACTATTGAAATTCTCTCTTTTTATTTTTTTTGTTTAGTTTTTGCTATAAAATATGTGTGTTTGGCAGAGAGAGAAAGTGAGAAATCACCCCCTGGGAGAATGGCCACACTGCAGTCTCTTCTCCAGTCTCCTCTTAGGATTTTGGGCATGCACACACATACACACACATACCTGGCATGACTTTCATGCCTCCAGGTCTGGGACTCGAACCACCGAGTCAGCCATGTGGGATTGCACCTTAATCTCTATACTACCTGCTGGCCTGGGATTCTCTTTTTATAAAAATGGTGGTAGAATTTCACAACTTCTTGCCAAAGGATTGATATGGACTTTGATGAAGCTTGTCACTTCCTCGTTTGAATAATGTTGTTCCCTTGTGGCCTAAACATAGGACTTTTAATGAGTCAAGTGAGGGGTAAGCCATAATTCTGATTTTTAGAAAATCTGAAGAATGAATTCAGAGACAAGTTGTATTGACTGCTTGAATTCACCTCCACACACATACCCCAATCTCCTTCTTATTTTTTATTTCAGGGATTTTAAGGTTTTTAGGTTTCAGGGATTGTTGTGGGATGTGTGTCTTGGTGCCGGGGACCATCATAGACCAATTTAGGTCCTTGAGTATGTGTGGGTCATGTACCATTGTCACTAGAGAATATTTATGCTACTGATTTTATTCAGATTTTTTTAAAATGGCTTTTCTAGCAGGTACATTGGGAATCATGTTGCTTTTTGATATTTTGTTTCCCTGTGGGACAGATGCAAGCTGGTAGCCCTGGCCATTGTGCCCTCTGTAGCTTTCTAAGTCCATTGTGATCGATGCAAAAGATCACGTGTGCTTTGGGCAGCACTCATTGGAGCAGGGTGCTGACTTGATGATTCACAGCTGAACCCTTCCCCCTCTGAATTTTCTGACATCCTCGTGACTCTCACATGGGGAATATGAGTGTCTCTTGAGAAATCTTTACATAAGAAGGCTTTCATTTTTCCTTTAAGATTGCTTAGGTGATTTTCCTTGAAGTTAGTACATTCCTTGCTTTCTATTTAAATCCCTAGGATAAATCTGTGTTCATTCTAGCTCCTTTTTACTTATGGCTTATTGATGTTTGAGGTTTTGTTTTTATGTTACCTGTAATGGACTGTTATTAGCCTAGATAACATGAAAGTATTTTTTTCATTGTTTAAAGCTTATGTAGTTCCTGGTGCAGATGTGCAAAAATAGTGTCTTAGTAATCACTAACATAATACTTTGTTTACTTCTGTACTGTGATTTTTAGTGGTTATTACATGGAACTATAGCTTTCTCCTGAGAAATAAACAAGCAAGAAATAGAAATCATGTAAATATGTAGTTTACATTACCTACTTTGCTTATACTTAACAAATCCATTTTGGACATTTGGACTCTTTTAATTAATATTTTTCAAAATGTTAAACTAAGAAGTATCACTTATTGTTCACTTTGCAGATAATGTTGGCAGTTTCTGTAATCATGCTTGAGTGGGTACTATTTGTTCTTAAAATTTGTTACATCACTGAATTTTATGTTGACTTTCTGTAGGTATTTTCACAGTCCTGTGTTTGGTATGGAGAATGTGGAATAGCAACTGGAGATAAGAGGTACAATTGCAAATATTCTGGGCCACCAAAACCATTGCCAAAGGATGGCTATGACTTAGTGCAGGTAAGTTCATTATCTTGGGCACAGGAAACGCAAAACACTGATCACAAGAACTTCTGTAGTTATACCTTAAATGGCATTGTGGCATGGGGGTGAAGTTGAGACTAATAGGCTTAAATCTCATCCCACACTTCGACCTGAAGTCAGAATGCCAGAGAAGATAACAACATAACTCTGAAGGCTTAATTTTTCAGGGACTTAACTTTATGCCCTTCATAAAGTTTCCCAATAGCACTTTGCTATTTAGAGAGTGACCTTGGCACCTTGAATGTTGCTCTTTGCTACTTTTGCAAAATATATTAGAAGTTCTTTGTGTTTATTTGTTTATTTGTTTTGATTCCTAAACTTTAGGACTCAAAGGGACTCTACATATATGTGGCTATTGCTTATTTGTCCCGTTTATCTCTGTCCCACTGAGAGCCTGTGAAATTTGGTGCTACCAGGATTCTGCTTTCTGTTCTCTCTCTTACCATTGCTGAAATACAAAAATATTATAAAAGAACTGGAAAAGTCAGAGTGAAAGATTGATTATAGAGGCTTAAATTATCTACCATCAGATCTCCTAGAGATCTCCTAGACTCACTGCTTTCATCAGAATTATTGAAGACATTTGACTTTCTCTAGAGGGACCAGTGGAAATAGTAAATAGCATTCCAAACTTTAAAAAGTACTTAAGAAGAGGGAAAATGATTGCCAGGACAGAAGAGTGAGCATCTAAATAAGATAAATTAGAATATTTCTACTTTCTTTACTTCTGAATTCCTAATTTATAAATAGCAAATTTGATACCCTTTTGAAAGAATTCAACAGGGCCAGCCAGTGACATGGTAGTTAAGGTGTCTGGGTCCCACATAGTCAACTGTGTGGTTTGTGTTCTGGACCCAACGGCTTGAAAAAAACACCGGGCACTGTGTGCATGCCCAAAATCCCAAGAGGAGACTGGAAGATGAGGGATTGTGGAGTGGCCATCCCCCTGGGGGAAGCTTTCTCATTTCTCCCCTCCTCTTTCTCTGGCAAACACACATGCTTTATAGCAAATTAAAAAAAAAAAAAAAAAGAAAGCCACACAAACTTTGCAAGTATGTGTCTTACTCTTAGCACTTAAAATGGCTTATGTGAATAAAGTTCTCCTATTTTCATTTAAGAGTATTGACCGTATTTTAACTGTGCCACCTCATTATCCCTGCTCTCACCCAAAAGGAACTCTGTCCAGGATTCTTCTTTGACAATGTCAGCCTCTGTTGTGATGTTCAGCAGCTTCAGACACTGAAAGACAACCTGCAGCTGCCTCTACAATTTCTTTCCAGGTACGTTGATTGCTGAGCAAACAGAACTAATGTGGGCACCAGACAGTGGTGCTGCAGTAACAAACTCTGCAATGCTATCCCAAATGGGAAGGTTCCAAGTTTGTGTCCAGAGACCTTTTTAAACAAGCTAGGTACTCGTGTGCCCCTGATCCAGGGCTGGCCGAAGCTGGGGGGAAGATTGCAGTGCTGGCACTGTGTTTGGAGGACTCACTTTCTCTTTTGCATGTGCATTCTCACAGTCTCACTCATGGAAGAAATAATAATAATATATATGACCAGTAGAGGAAAAAGTTAAAAAAAAAAAAAAAAAAAAGAATGGGGTAGCCCGTGGTTAAGGAAGCTGGATCCCATGTGGCCAACTGCACTGTTTGGAACATGCTCTGTGTATCACATGCATGCCCAAAATCCTAAAAGGAGGACAGAATTGAGGAGAAGGGATTGCAGTGCGACCATGCACCATGAGGGGTGATTTCTTCCTCTCCCTCTTTGTCTTTCTGGCAATCTCAGACACCCTCTGGCAAAAAAATTGAAAAATAAGGACAAATGGGCTTTAGGTACTTGTTAACCAGTAATTGACTTTAAAAGTCAGTTTTGTTTTGTTTTGTCTTAAAAAGCATCTTTATAAGTTGCCATAAATGAAGAGAAAATAATAATTAGACTTGGTTCTCCTCTTGGTTACATGCAGAGTGGATACTGGTTTCCTCTACAATATCCTCACCCCGCAGTGTCTATACTGTAGAGATACCTTCAGATTTGAACTTTTGTGGACTGTGGGCAGGAGTGGTTCCTGGTGGCCCTGCTCAGGTCCCCAGCCAGAGACTCCTCATCCATACGGTCTTCTGTGACACCCTCAACTCCTTGCCTTCTCTGTTTTGCATATTGTTCTTGCCTTTCTGTAGGGAAAAGTGCTAGAGTCAGGTCCTCAGTAGAGCTGGCCTTGGGTAACTGTTGGCAAAGTGTAGTTGTCTGATTTTGTCGAGGTTGGTTTTCTGTCTGATCTGTTTCTGTGTGACCTAGGGTAGTGATAAGGGTTGCATAATAGATGTTCTTCTCTAGGCCTACCCAGAAGTTTTCAGATATGTGGAAAAACAAGCTGATTGGCGGTGGTCTTTAGAATAGCAGATTGTAATATTTTTCTAAAGTTTTCAGACCTCAACACACTGATAAAGATGGTTGGAAGCTGGTACAAAGCGGATGATGTTTCTCTGTGAAGAAGTCTTGGCAGGTGACAGGGCACGTGTTAAAAACTAGTGAGAGAGCCTGCTTCTTACCAGAAGTTGACAGTACAGAGTGATAGAAAACCAGTACTAAATTGTTCTTTCAGTATAGCAGACAGTGTAATAATAATCAAAAGATGAGAGTCTAAGTATGCCAGCATATTCATGGGAGTCTGGTGGAAATTTTGGAGTCAAGTTCAAGCCTATGCCACTCAGTTGAAACACGTTTATTTAGCATCCACTCAAGGTGAGGCATTAGGAATACAAATGGCAAAAGATAGCCACAAATGGTACCAGCAGGTAGCGTGGTAGTTACAGTGCTGGATTCCTGGGACCAGCATTTAGCATAATGGTTATGTCGCTGGACTCCCATGTAGTTGACCGCGGTTCACGTCCTGGACCCGGTGGTATGAAACTCACGCCAGGCGCGTGTGCATGCGTGCCCAAGATCCCGAGAGGAGAATGGAGGAGAAGGGATTGCGGTGTGGCCATCCCCCTAGAGGGTGATTTCTCGCTTTCTGTCTCTCTCTGTCTGTCTGACAAGCGCATGTGCCCTATTGCAAAAACCTCTCCAAAAAAAAGAAGTGCTGGATTCCCATTTGGCTGACCGCAGTTCAGGCTCAGGCCCAGTGGCTTGAAAATCACGCTAGTCACGTGTGCGTGCATGGCCATCCTCCGGGGGGAGTGATTTCTTACTTTCTCCCTCTTTCCAGTGAGCACACATGCCACCATGGCAAAAAACAAATAGCAACAACAAAAAAGATAGCTGGGATTTCCTCATATTATCAGAGAAACCAAAGCTTTATAATAGAAAGTAAGAGAAACCACCTGATATGTGAAGTAATTTGCAGCTGTCAAAATTAATGATTGTGGAAATTTAATGTAGTAATATGAAAAGAGGTTTGTGATTCATAGAAAACTGAGTTTCCAAGAGTGATTCCTATTAGTCTAATATAACTGTAGTTTCTAGTTTTGTCATAGTAAAGCGCAGGTCTGCTTCAAAGAGTCTGTGTGTATTTATTTGTCACTTTATTGGAACAAGGCTCTTGAAGTCTGGGACACACCTTCCTTGATCCAGAACTGGATCAGAGTAAAAAGTAATCTTGACTGATGATGTTGCCAGAATGCAAGTCCAATGAAGCAGTAGTTTTCATAGGTGACACTGGACCAGAGGGAAGAGAACACTCTTTTGCTGTATTACATTAGGCGCTAAGCTTTGAACCTAAAGGATAGTGTGGTTCTCACAAAAACCTGTGTGCTTCTGAAATGCCTGCAGCTAAGAATATCACTGCTGTTCTTTTTATCCTTACAACTCACGTACTCTTGTGTTTTGGAAGAGCCTGGAGATTATCTAGGTTTTGGAAAAAAGCTCTTTAATAAATTATGGAAGTTCTCAAGTGGTAATATTTATTTCTCTTCCCCTCTTATTTAAACTTTACTTCTTCCATGAGAGACAGAAACACAGGCTCCAGCACCCCTCAGGGTCCTCATACCACCATCCACCCTCAGGTTCTGCCAGCCTGCATCAGGGGTTTATGCATCTGGTATGGCCAGAGAAGCCTTGGGACATGAGCCTAGGACCTCCCCACTGTGAATCCAGCATTGACGATCAATGTGCTACTTCCTTGCCACTGGTTGGTCCCCCATTTTTCCCCCTAAAACTGTTGTCATGATGTTCCTAAATCCCTTTAGCTCCAGAGCAAAGAAAGCACATCTGTAAATTATAAAGTGCAGAATTCAAAAAAGCAACGTCCTCTTTTTGAAATTGCATCTGGATTAAATAAATGTTTTTATTAGGGCAGTTTTTAAAGATTGTCTTTATTTTAATGTGAGGTTTTAAGTTTAGAATTGCTGGGTTAATTTGATCTCATGGTAATTTGTCACTTTAAATTAAATACTTTTTGTCATTTTTAAGTCATATTTTTTGCTAGCTCTATAAACCATGAGATCACGCAAAATATAATTTACTTTTTTCTTCAGATGTCCATCTTGTTTTTATAACCTAATGAACCTGTTTTGCGAGCTGACATGCAGCCCTCGTCAAAGTCAGTTTCTGAATGTTACAGCAACTGAAGATTATGTTGATCCTGTTACAAACCAGACAAAAACGAATGTGGAAGAGTTACAGTACTATGTTGGACAGAGTTTTGCCAATGGTAAGTAAATTCTTTTCTTTGTGGAGGGGGAGGTTTTTGCTATAGGGAACATGTGCTCGCCAGAAAGACAGAGAGAGACAGAGACAGAAAGCGAGAAATCAGCCCCCAGGGGGGATGGCCATGCCGCAATCCCTTCTCATCCATTCTCCTCTCGGGATCTTGGGCATGCATGCACACGCACCCGGCATGAGTTTAAGCCCGCTGGGTCCAGGACTCGAACCGCGGTCAACTACATGGGAGTCCAGCGACTTAGCCATTGTTCCAACTGCTGGTCCCAGCCAATGGTAAATTCTTAATTATTCCTCTTTTATAGCTGGTATGTGGACAGTGGAGCAAAATGTTCCTTTCTTGTTCTGTCAACTGTGTGTAAAAATCACAGTTTTCAGTTCCATTGCTGCTTTGCCTATTTCTTAAGACTGCAGGAGTGAAACAACTTCCTAAAAGCACTTGCTTTATTCCTTTCCTAACTAAGTTCTGACATGGAAAATTTTAGCATTTACTTCTGTACATTTTAGCAACTATTGCAACTTTGGTTCTAGCAGATGTGAATTGTGTAACTTCATAAATTATTGCAAGATTACAAAGAATGGGTAGTAGAAGGATAGATAAGGGAAAGTAAGCAGGCGTAACAGATAAAAAGTGAGCACCTCCCCCCCACCCCCAGAACTAGAAATTATGGAACAATCTGAAAGAGTCCATATACTTGTTGAAAATTACCGAAATGAAAATTCTGAAAGAACACTGCAGAAAAAGAATGATCAGGTTAGAAACAGAATCAACTCAATCCATGAATAAAAATGGTCGTTGAGGGACCAGTAGGTGGTGTAATGGTTACATCGCTGGACTCAAAACTCACAGTGTGTGTGTGTGTGTGCGCGCGTGCGCGTGCCCAAAATCACGAAAAAAATGGAGGAGAAGGGATTGTGGTGTGGCCATCTCCCCAAGAAGTGGGGGGGAGGGGGGTGACGAGTTCTCGCTTTCTGAGTCTCTGTCTCTCTCCCTCTCTTCAGCAAGCACATGCACCCTATAGCAAAAAAATCTCTCTTTAAAGAAAAAGGTCATTGAGATTGACTAAAAGGTAAATAAGAGATTAAACACAGTTGAAAAAAGAAAATGTCCAAGAACAGTCTATGATAGAATTCAGCACAGTTGTTGTTTATCAGAACAACCTACAACATTTAATTATAATGATCAATTAAAACAAAAACTTTAATGGAAAAAAGATTCCATCACAAAAGCAAAACAAGTAAGATATTGCACCTAAGACATTTCCAGATGATGGAGATCAGTATCTTCCAAAAGAAGGGACATAAAAGACAGTTTGACTTGGGGCCAGCATGTGGCATAGTGGGTTAGGTGCTGGACTCCCACGAGGCCGACCAGTTTGAGTCTCGGACCTGACAGCTTGCTCTCTCACTCTCTCTCCCCACCTCTTGTAAAATTAAAAAATAATATTAGCAAATAAAATTAAATATTATTTTTTTTTAAAAAAGACAATTTTGAGTAGAAAGAGATCATTCTGTCCAGAAGCAGAACTGTGCACATGTGGGAAGTTGACATATAACAGGTGCATTGATATAAATAACTCATTAAGGGAACGGGTGGTTGGTAAATAGAGTGAGAAAATTATATTTAATTTTTCTGCATTTCATACTATGTATATAAGTTATAGATTAAAAGTCCTAACCTCTGGAGTTTTTAGAAGTAAATATAAAATACCTTTTTTTTTTTTTTGGAGAGGTTTTCGCTATAGGGCGCGTGCGCTCACCAGCCAGAGAGAGACATAGAGACAGAAAGTGAGAAATCACCCCCCAGGGGGGATGGTCACACCGCAATCCTTTCTCCATTCTCTTGGGATCTTGGGCACGCACACACACGCGCCAGGCATGAGTTTTAAGCCACTGGGTCCGAGACGCGAACCGTAGTCGACTATGTGGGAGTCCAGCGACATAGCCATTACGCTAACTGCTGGTTCCCAATATAAAATATCTTTATGATATTAAGGTAAGGAAGAAATTTCTAGTTGGGAGAGAGGAAAAGCAGAAACCATAAGTGAAAAGAGTATGAATGAGTATAAATAATTAGTATCTGGGACAATGAAAAGCGTATTAAAACAGTGAACTACCAGCAGATGGTGTAGCAGTTACGTCGCTGAACTTCCACGTGGTCAACCGCTGTTCAAGTCCTGGACCCAGTGGCTTGACACTCCTACTGGGCGCTTCTGCACGCGTGCCCAAGATCCCAGGAAGAAAATGGAAGAGAAGGGATTGCAGCATGGCCATCCCTCCTGGGGGGTGATTTCTCACTTTCCCTCTCACTGTCTCTGTCTCTCTGTCTCTCTCTGGTGAGCACAAGTGCCTTAAGGTAAAACCTTTTAAAAAAAAAAAACAAAAAACCTAAAAACAGTGAACCACCGTTTCACACATTATTATCAGATTGACACGACTTTGAAAGTCTGTCTGCTCTGACTTGATATGGAGCAGTAGGAATGCTAATATACTGCATCACTGGTAGCCATAAATTGGTGCAAGTATTTGAAAACCATTTGAAAAACAGTTTTGCAATACCTAGTCAAGTTAAAGATAAATATAACCATATCCCAGAAATTCCACTTAGATGCCTGCCTTAAGGAAACTCTCTTATGCATGTAAGCAGGGAGACACATAAACACATCTGTTATATTATAGCATATGTCCACACAAAAACTTATATGCTAATATTTATGGCAGCACTGCTTATAATAGCCCAAAGGTTTCAATAACCCAGATAACAAGCAACTGTTATACTGATAAAATATGGCATACCAACATGATGGGAAATTCTTCAGCTATAAAGAAATAGGGGAGGGGGCCCCCGGCGGAAGCCGCGCGGGGCGCGGGAGCTCATGCCCCCGGAGCGGCGGCGCCCGCCAACGAAAG